CGGCCCATCTTGATCAATCTAGGCCCCTGCCACACGGGGGGAAATTGCTGCGGGCAAAGTGCGGCTTTTGAAAGCCGCACCAAAAGAGACATGCGGCGGCAGAATCACACAGATCCCCTGAGCCGCCGTGCAGTTCCTCCCTTGCACAATCAGATGCCGGGGAGAAGCCACTGAAGAAAGAGCGAGGCAGCCGAACTGCGCATGTGTGCGCTTGCGCAGTTCGGCCGGGAGCCTGGATTGCTACCAAAGACGAATGCGCTGGTGATCCCACGGCCGTGCTTGCTGCGGTGTTTCAGGTAAGTCCTGCTCTTTTGCAGATTCTTTTTTGATGCGTGTTTTAGGCTTGAAGGGACGGATCGGGGACGGGTGCACGCCGATTCCCAGATGTTGCGGTGTGCTCGCGCCTGTTTGCTGCGCCCCCGATCCGTCCCTCTCCCGGGCCAAAACCTTCCGTGTGACCGGGGCCCTAGTGTAATAATCTTAAAAACTAGCGATTTATTTTAGCACAATTTTTTGCGAATAAGTATTGACCTTGGAGTCATCGAGAAATTGAACATTCTCTTACCCCCTACCCTAGGCTTGAATAGGGACTTGGATGTCCTCACTCGCCATTGGTGCCAGTGGTCCAGCATGACCCACTCTTTATGGATGTTGGTTGGTTCTCCTTATTGCTTCTACCACTCCTTTCCCCTTGATTTAGATCTGATTGCAGGGCTGTTTTTGGGCAGGAACGCACCCCACTCCTTTCCCCCTGATTTAGATCTGATTGTATGTTTATCCTATTCTCTCCATCTGTGTACTTTGAATGGCGAGAATTCTCTTTGATTGGTTATTGTTTCTAGCTGACCTCTTTTTGCAACCTGTCCCACCATTCTGTTGCCTGTACCTTTAAGAATGAATATTTCCCAAATGGGCGTACATCTGGTGAAGTGGGCTCTGACCCATCAAAACTGATGCTTGAAAGTCTTAAAAGGTTCCCCTGCACTTCTCTAATTATGATGCTTGGATGAAGTTCACACTGGGATTGGAGTTTTTTTTAATCTTCAGTTGCTTTTAGTTATTTTCCATGGCTCCAGGGATTAATGTGGCGTTTTAGTTGTGCTTGTGCATGAGTGGAACATGTCAAGAAACTTTTAAGATTTAGGATCGAATAAACTTGCTTTCTTGTGCACTGCAAAAGTCTTTACCCAGAAGGGTGCTTCGAGCCACTGGCTCACAGGCTGTTGTGTAACCATCCCCCATGTATCCTTGCTGTAAACAAGGAAATTGGGAAGCATCTTTTTTTACTGAGTGGTCACAATGCTGTGTGCATTTGGTGGTTTTGTGAACTGAAGCACAACCACAGTGTTCTCATTATCTGGCTTTTTCAAACTTTCTAACTTCCAGAAAAACCCCAGTTGATCTGTCTGCCCAAGACGCAGATGTGTCATGGAGCTTCTGTGAGCTGCAAGGAACGCTGGAACATGTCCTAGGGAAACGTATACAGTTCAGGTGGGGCACAGCCAGGCCCCTGGTGTCAGTGATATGTACCCAGCCATCTCCAAATAGAAATCTTCCCACATTCATCTTCATTTTTGTGGTTCCTTCTGACTCCCAGAAAGGCTATTCCTAGCCTTGCAGAATTCATGCAGAGGTTCATCTGCATGGGCTGGAGTGACAAGGGTTGTTTTCTCTGGTTGTTTTCTCAGCAGAGCTGCCCTTGCAGAAGAAGGAGGAGCAATTTGACCCCCTTATTCCTCACTGCAACCCCCCCAACCTTCGTGGTCTTTCCCCCATGCAGGTCCTATGATGTTTCCATGAGTCACAAGGGGCTTCAGGAATGGAAAGGAATGCAGGAAAACACTGCATTCCTTGCACCAAGTGGCAGGATGCATGCCAGTGTTCCCTAATGGTCCTCTGCAGCTGGACACTGGGGCAAGAAGAAGATGGGTATTGGGGGGAAACTACTTGTCTGCCATGATGGATGATCCTGTAGAGGGAACTTGAAGTTCTTTTCTATTAAACAGTCAACTGGTGATGGAAAGTGCCATCAAGTTGTAGCTGACTTATGGAAACCTCAAAGGTATTCAAGGCAAGAGATGAACAGGGTTTTTTTTTTGCAGTTGTCTTCTTCTGCATAGCAAGCCTGGGCTTCCTTGGTGGCCTCCCATCCAAGTACTAACCAGGACCAACCCCACTTAGCTTTTGAGATCTAACAGTGACAAGATCAGGCTAGCCTGTGTCATCCAGATCAGGGCAAATAATCAATTAAATAATCAAATCAATTGGTTAAGATGCTGAACTGCAGGCTGTGGAAGGCCGGTAGTTCATCAGTTCAAGACCCGAGTGTGCCGCATGACGGGGTGAGCTCCCATCTCTAGTTCCAGCTCCTGCCAACCTAGCAGTTCGAAAGCAAGAAATTGCAAGTAGATAAATAGGTACCATTTCGGTGGGAAGGTAACAGCGTTCTGTGCGCCTTGGTGTTTAGTCATGCCGGCCACATGACCACGGAAACGTCTTCGGACAGCGCTGGCTCTTCGGCTTTGAAACGGAGATGAGCACCGCAACCCTAGAGTCAGACTCGACTGGCTTTCGAGCAAGGGAACCTTTACCTTTACCAAGACACAGTCCTTAAAACAAATGGCGGATATATTTGTATGTGTCAAGTTAACAACACTGCTTCGTCATTCAAGATTTAGTCTCAGTGGCTACATTGGGGAGGGGGATAGCCCCTCTTTTAGTAGTGTATTATATTGTCTCCAAGAAAGGTAACTAAATCTTCACTAGCCCAGAGTGGATCAATGGTTTAATCTCTGACTCTTTTAATTTCAAATTACTGTGGGACAGGGCTGTAGCCAGTGGTGGGGTGTTGGAGGCGACGCCTCTACCAAATCTGCAACACCCCCCCCACGCAAGAAGACCCTCAAAGTGCCCCCTCGTTCCCATCATGCGACCCAGAGCCAGGCCCTCTTTTAATGGCCGCAGGCCCCTGAGCTGCAAGCCAGAGCTTTCCTCCAGGCGGCCACCCCACATGCTGTGCAGACCCGGCTGGGACATGTCAACAGCAGAACCGGGCCCTGGGAGATGGCAGCCTTGGCATCCCTATGTGTGGCCGGGGGGGGGGGGGGGAGGCCACACCAGGGGCGGCGGGGGGGGGGGGGAGCAGCCACAAGCCCAGTGCTGGTCTTCTGGGCATCTCCCCCCCATTTCGCCTGGCCATGCCCTGTGGGACCAACTGCTGACTTCCCCAACAGGGTGAACTGACCAGCACCAGGCCAGGAAAGCCTGAACGCTCTTCTGGAGGTGCATCAGTTTAATTTAATTAGTAGTGCATATGGGGCACAGTCTTTTATCCTGCAAGACAAGGACAGAACTTACCATGGAAGAAATTTGCTTGTAATAATCCCCTTCCGGCTCCAGTGATCCCAGTCCTGCCTGCTCTCGGAAGCGAAGCTGGCTCAGGTTCCCGCTTCTTGGAAGCATGCCATTCTCTGTATTTTCCCTCATTACCTGTGTTCAATCCGTATTGTATATGGAACAAAAGTCAGCAGATTGGAAGTCCTTGAATTCAAGAGACAGATAAAAACAATGTGGGTTGAAATGTTTCCAACTGCGACACAACCCTCTTTTTCATTGAGGTGATAAGCTTGTATTTGGGCCATACGGCAACAAGAAAAATCACACATGTACTTATTTTAGATATTTATACCCCAGTTTCTCCCACGATGGATTTCACCTATTGAAGCGTTTGTTAAACCCTCTTTATAGACTAAATATGAAAAATGGAAATATCAAGATTTTTTAGATGTAACCAGGAATTTGAGAGTAGAAGATATTTTAAACAATGAAGATACACATATGACTTGATGGGAAAAAAGGCAATTACTATCAAGATGGTCAATTGGCACAAAAAAATGGGTTTTATGAAAAGCAGACTGAACTAGATAAAATATGGACAGGTACTGAAGAAAAATTTATAAAAAAGGCCTATAACTTTTGGCTTGAATGGAAGATGCAAGACGAATGGGTAAAACCCTCAATGATTGCGTGGGCTAGAGACATAGGAAGTAACTTGACTTTTGAACAATGGGAAAAGGTCTGGGAGAAAAATGTAAAATTGGTCAGATCAAGTGCCTTTAAAGAGAACATTATTAAAATGTTCTACAGATGGCACATCTCACCGGTAAGGTTAAATAAATATGACAAGAGAATTGGAAAGAATTGTTGGAAATGTAAATATAGCGATGGAACATATTTCCACTTATGGTGGCTATGTAGTAAGGCCAAAAAATATTGGAATATGGTAAAAGAGATTATTGATGAGATATTGACCAAGAAAGTACCACTATCACCAGAATGCTTTTTATTAAATTTTATCCCGGACACCTTTAAGAAAGATGAAACATACTTAGTGATGCAGATCATTACAGCAGCCAGAATCTCTTATTCTAGTAAGTGGAAAAATGAGGAAACTCCTACTAGAGATGAAGTGATCTCTAAGATACTAGATGTGGCGGAGATGGAGAAATTAACTTTTATTTTACAAGAAAAAGGTTATGAAAACTTTGATAAATACTGGTTAAATTTTTATAGATGGTTAAAGGAAAGAAATTAGCTTAAAGTAGCGGAATTTAGTTGATTGTGTCTGAAATGGATATGAAAGACATATATAAATATATGAAAGCACTTAAAGGTTCTGGCAATTAAGTTATGATAGTGGAATGTATATACTGTGTGAAAAGATGAAACCTATCTGCAACCAGATGTTATGTATCAAAATGGAATTTTCTGTGTTGTTTTTGTTGTTATTTGTTTGTTTTGTTTTTTGTTTTTTCCCCCTTTTTCTCTTGTCAATTTGTCAAATATAAATAAAGAATTTTTTTTAAAAAAAGGCTTCCCAGTGCCATAGCAGAGGGGGGATTCGAACAAGGTTGTTGTTGTTTGTTTGTTTTGTTTTTTGTTTTCCCCCCTTTTTCTCTTGTCAGTTTGTCAAATATAAATAAAGAAAATGTGTTTAAAAAAAGGCTTCCCAGTGCCATAGCAGAGGGGGGATTCGAACCTGGGTCTCCCAGACCCTAGTCTTACACTTTAAGCTCTTAAAACATTATCATGGCACAGTCCTTATGACTTGTCAATTTGTCAAATATAAATAAAGAATTTTTTTTAAAAAAAGGCTTCCCAGTGCCATAGCAGAGGGGGGATTCGAACAAGGGTCTCCCAGATCCTAGTCTTACACTTTAAGCTCTTAAAACATTATCATGGCACAGTCCTTATGACAAGCTGATGAGAACTGTTAACTGTTGAAAACAGTGCTCCCCGTAAACTGTGTAATCTTGTGAGCAAAAATTGTACTTTGTGAGCCTCTGGCATTAAAGTTGTGAGCGAGCTATTTGGCTACTGCATAAATTAGCTTGCTCTGGAGCCATTCTTCCTGAACTAAGACAAACATGTGATAGCCAGAGGCTAAAAAACTGTGAGCTAGCTCACACTGACTCAGCTTAGAGGGAACACTGGTTGAAACACAGGCCTTGGGATCACGTAAGCAAAGGAATCGGTGGGAAGGATGACTAACTCTCCTTCCCCTTGGAGTCTGCAGTCCTCGGGAGGTGACCAAAGGACACATAGAGAACGCCCCTTGGAATGTGTCTGCAAGGGCCAAGTTAACATCATGGGCCAGACGTTAAGCTTGATGGTTTTGGAAAAGCTTGAGGGGGTGATTGGCTCTTAACTTATCAAGAAAATGAAGAAAATAGCCAGGATTATGTTGGAATGTACCAGAGAGGCAGGGAAAGGGCTGCCGAAAGGGATCTGTGATGATTGCCGAGATTTCGAAAGGATTTCAGAAGTTAATCCGGAATTAAATGTCACTAGGAAGCAGATTCTGTGCCTGCAGAGTTCTTGTAATCCTGTATTCTGAAAAGCCCACATGCATGCGGAAAGGTGTCCTTTCTGGTTCCAATGGGTAAAATAAACCCAGGGCTGCTGATGGAGCATGAGGCATGATATGGCCGAGTGGAATGGTAATCTAGCTGTTTGGACTTTGCAAGCAAGGTTCCCCTTTCTCCGTCCCAGTGGAATCTGCAGTACGTTTCCAGTATTCAGTTATTTAATGCAAGAAACAGGCCAGTTGTTGAGTGGGCTTAATTTGATTCTAGCCAGTGATGGTTTGAAATGTGGTGCTGAATATTGGGAGTTTGCAAATGAATTTGCAAATTTAGGATCCAGTGAGATGTTCTGAGAGCTAAAGAGACTTTATTGCCAGACTGCCTCAGAAATCTAGCATAAGGGTTGCCATACTGTGCCTGGCAACCCCCAGGAGAAATGGGGTGGGTGGGGCCTGGTGCATTGATATCGCTTTTGGTAAAAACAGGAAGTGACATCTTTAGACACTCTAGCATTTACAAAAACCTAGATGGTTTTACCATAGAGCTTTTGGTAAATGCTAGAGCATCCACTAATGTGTTTTAATGAGAGCCAGTTTGGTGCAGTGGTTAAGTGTGCGGACTCTAATCTGGGAGAGCCGGGTTTGATTCCCCACTCCTCCACTTGCACCTGCTGATGTGACCTTGGGTCAGTCAGAAGCTCTGGTACAGCTGTCCTTGAAAAAGAGCAGTTTGTGTCAGAGTTCTCTCAGCCCCACCCTCCTCACAGGGTGTCTGTTGTGGGGAGGGGAAGGGAAAGGAGTTTGTAAGCAGCTCTGAGACTCCAAGTGAAGGGCGGGGTATAAATCCAATCTCTTCTTCTCTCTCTTCTTCTTCTTCTTTACTGGAAATGATGTGTGCACTGGCACACACTCCACCCCACCCCCCAAGAAAGAAAGAAAGAAAGAAAGAAAGAAAGAAAGAAAGAAAGAAAGAAAGAAAGAAAGAAAGAAAACAGGGATATCAGGTGGTTTCCCACCATAGCAGGAGTCCTGGCATCTCTGTCACCAGCCAACCCCCAGAATCTAACAGCCTTTTAGAAGAAGGCAGTAATGACTGCCAGGGACTTGGATCTGTGTTCAGCTTCCTAGCAATTTCTGCTCTAGCTCTTTTTAAAAAGCAAGTTCCTAGCCCCTATGATTGATTGCAAAGGTCAGCTGGAAGGAGTATAGGCAAGGCCTACTTAAATCTCTGAAGCCAGAAAAACATCTGAAAACATATCCAGTGGCTGACAGCAAGACGTCAGTACCCTCTCTGGCTTCTCCTTGTCCGTTCCTGTAACTTGGGAAAGCCAGGAATGATTTGTTCAAAATAAGAGTGTGCAACTTTTGTTTAATCTACATAGCATATCCATATTGCAGAGCTTTCCTTTCTCCCCCTCTCCTGAAGCACACAGCATTTTGACTGTTTTATCAACTTACGAATGCAAGTGACCCATTTGCATGCCTAAGGTGCCGTGCCTTTTCACCGTAAACTTGTTTAATTAGTCTGACTGTGTAACTCTGATTTTATAAATCATCATGAGATTGCTTGGGGATATTGTTCCAGATCTCCTAGCCTTATTGCTCTGCTGCAGATATGTTTTGTAAAGATTCATAGGTGTCAAAGCTGGCAGAACTCCCCCCTCCCCCAAGGAAGCCCATAAATCCTGGCTAAATAAAGAAAGGGGAAAATGTGAAACCTTTACCAAATGCTGGATGTTGCATGTGGATTGGTGTTTGAAGCTGGTCATGAAACTGAGGAATGCTAGGAAAGGCAGATAGCTTTGATTATTTAGCTCTTTGTGGGTAAGAGTGTGTGTACCAGGGCTCTTTTTGTAGAAAAAGCCCAGCAGGAACTCATTAGCATAATAGGCCACACCCAACAGCAGAAACTCATTAGCATATTAAGCCACACCCCTGACAGCACAGCTCATTAGCACATTAGGTCGCACCCCCATGTTACCAGAAGTGTGGTCATCCAACCACACCCACCTTTTGCTTCTTATTCTGTTTACCTTGTTTGTTGTCAAAACCCAGGGCTTTTTTTGTAGCAGGAACTCCTTTGCATGTTAGGCCACACACCCCTAATGTAGCCAATCCTAATGAGTTTCTGCTGTTGGGTGTGGCCTGTTATGCTAATGAGTTCCTGCTGGGCGTGGCCAACTCGGGAGGCAGCCGGAACGCCGTTCCTGCGCGTTCCTGCCCAAAAATAGCCCTGGTGTATGCTTCTGGGTTACACAGGTCCCGTCATCAAATAGAAACTATTTTGTCTTTCTTGGGTTGTGTCTGGGTGTATTTTGAGCTCACGTTTGGGGACCTCTGACTTTGCCCCCATTTTTTGAGGGGGAGAAGTAGTCTTGTCTCTTTAATGAAAAATTTTTAATACCTCGTTTTTACAAAGGGGTATCATGTCTGCAGAGAATGGGTGTGTGTGTGGGGGGGTGGCATGCTGAGCTCCCTGAGGCTGGCCCTCTGTGAAGTTATGCATCCGCTTGAGGCATCCAATAAGAGATCCAGATCAGGCTGCTGGCTTCTCGTGCAGTCTGCCCTGGGGACTAGCACATCCAGGGTTCTTCTTACATTCTCATAGGCATCCGTTCAGGGTTTTAGAGCTCTCTTGCTGGTAAAGTTGCTTTGTGTGCACTATTTTTTTCCCTTTTGCTATTATAATGTTTGGTAGAAGGCATCTAGCCTAGTGGCTCCCCCCAAATAATTTGTTTAAATGGAAGAGTGCTTGATTCCATGAGTCGTCCCCCCCACCTGCCATCAGAAGTGGATGCAGCCAATGTTCCCTCTAAGCTGAGTTAGTGTGAGCTAGCTCACACTAACTCAGCTTAGAGGGAACATTGGATACAGCCCAAACTTGGGGTCAGTGAGAACTTGACCTAGGTGTGAAGTTACCTGTGGGTGGGCTTTTAGGCAAAAGGTTGCATAAAGATAGAGTTGCCAGCCTCGGGGGGCGGGGGCGGGCTGGGGGCTGGGGATCTCCCTGAATTCCAGATGATCTCCAGGTGATGGAGATCAAACCTGGATCTGGCAACCCAACATAGAGAACAAGCGCAAAGGTTAACGGCTTCTTGGTTTTTTGGCTTTTGACACACCAGGCATGTGACCCAGGAAGTCTATAGAGATGATATTGGTCTTAACCTGAGGTCCCTTTGGATTTCTTCCCAGAGAACGTTCCCCGGGAGACGTTGATGCACTTTGCAGTGAGGCTGGGTCTTCTGCGTTTGACGTGGTTCCTCTTACAGCAGCCCGGGGGGAGAGGAGCGGTCAGCGTCCCCAACAGCGAAGGAGCCACGCCTGTCAGCCTGGCCTTGGAGAGGGGCCATCACAAGCTACATCAGCTGCTGACACAGTAAGGATGGACTTTAGATACGGACTGGGCCTCCTCACGCCTGCACTCGCTCTGACCTTTGGCTTTCACTGCAGTTAAGGGTTATTCTGCACTGACCCTCACCTGAGCTTTTAAAGTGGAGATGCTGAGGACTGGGCCCAGGGCCTTCTGCAGGCCGAGCACAGAGAGCCATGGCCTGTTTCTTTTTTTTTCTTTTTCAAATAAGTGTTTTTTATTATTTTGAACAATATATACAACAGTACATTCATAACACATATTAACACCATGCAATAATCAACATTCTCAACCCTTAAGAGCCTTTTAAAAATATAACAGATATTTGTAATAAGAGTTGTTTGGAATCACTTCTTCTTCTGCAAGATAGTATCTTCTTCGTGGTCTCTGTGCATCACACCCTTGGGAATATACTGCGCCTGCGCTGACCTTCTCGGTACCGGTAGCTAGCAAAAGGGATTTTCGTGCCTCTCCCGGGTCACGCGCCGGCTCCACTGCGCATGACCAAGGAGGGGCACGCAGATCCCGCCAGTTCTTTTCTGACCGCCGCGCTGGTAGGACGCCTTCTGCTTCGGTCTGTTAAGTACCTAACTTTCTGCTAAACTTGCGTTTAGTTAGTTTGTCATGCGCAGTGGAGCCGGCGCGTGACCTGGGAGAGGCGCGAAAATCCCTTTTGCTAGCTACCGGTACCGAGAAGGTCAGCGCAGGCGCAGTATATTCCCAAGGGTGTGAATGCACAGATGACCACTCGAAGATCACCAGTTACAGGTAAGCAACCTGTCTTTACTGCTGGGAACCAAGTTGCTTGAAAATCTTTTTGGTGAGAGACAATTTTACCATATACAAAGTGTTCCCAGATTTTGTTTTGCCAATATTGGAGAGTAGGTTGATTTTTGTTTTTCCAATATTGGGCTAATGTTCTTCTGCCTTCTACTGAGTCACTCCTGATCTGTCCCGATCAAAGCCAGTGTGGTGCAGTGGTTATAGTAGGGTATAGGAGACCTGGGTTTGAATCCCTCCTCCACCATGGAACCTGAGGCCAGTCATGCACGCTCAGCCTCATCTACCTCAGAGGAGGCTTGCGAGGTCCCCCGCTTTTGCACCCACAAATGTCCCCGAATGCGACATATTGACGTCACCCACAAGTGTCGGCATTGCATCACTGACGTCGGGGGGTGGGTGGGTGGGTGACACGCTAGTTTTTGGGCAAAACTCTATGGTGAAATTGGTCTCAAACCATAGAGTTTTTGCCCAGAAACTAGAGTGTCACCCCCTGATGTCGGCAATGTGATTACGTCACTTCCGTGTGATGCCATTGCGGCGCGCACGGCAGAAGATCCCAGGATGGACCCTGGAGCCTCCCAACGGCAGCCAGGTAAGACCCTGCAACCCCTGCCTCACACGGTTGTGGTGAAAATAAACATGGAGATTGTTGCCAGCCACCTTGGGTCCCCATTGGGAAGAAGAGTGGAGAATAAATGAAGTAAAGTAAAAACATGATCGGAATGATCTATTCTGACTTGGCAGTGGCTCCCCAGGGCCTCAGGAAGAGGTCTTTCCCATTCCCACCTACTGGATCCTTTCAACGGGAGATGCTGAGGACTGAACCTGGAACCTTCTGCTTGAAAAGCAGGGCCTCTGCCCAGTGAGCCACAGCCCCTGTTCCTTAGGGGGGACCCTGCTGTGTCTCTGTGTTAAATCATCAGATCGCACCAGAGTGTGAGATGTGGTAGAATCCCATGCCTTCAGCAGGGGCTGACTAGAAACCGGGAAAGCCAGAACAGTGACTCATGCAGGGTTCCAGCAGGCAAACTGCTCTGTGACGCTTGCGGGCAACTTTAGTTTGGGAACTCTCGTGGCATATAGGGAAATCATTCTGGAATGATGGTTCCATCAGGGCTGCGGCCCAGCTGTAAGTAGAAGTGTCCACTGGGAGCAACCCTCATCTCCCAGGCAAGCAACAAGCTTCTTTTGCCCCTCTGACTTCCCCTCTGTTCCGCTTGAAAATTGGTCTGCCAAATGCTGTCTCCATAAGCTGCTTAAACTGCTTAGTTTAAGTGCCTGTAATCTCTTTGCGTCTAATCATGACCCTGGCAGCATTAAGGAAATGCTAAGGGATAAATGGGCCCATAAGGAATACCTTTCCCTCTTCACACACACACACTCTCTCTCTATTTTTGAGCACATTTAAATCCTTGGGGATCTGTGTTCAAGGTTAGGGTTGTTCATTTGAGGAATGAGGCCTGTGATCTGTTAGATGTTTTATCTCTAGTTTCTGCCAATGAAATAGGTTTTTAGGCCATACCTAGGACCTGGCAAAAGGTGGGCCACCTGTTTCTCATAGGCTGAGAACAGCCCATATTCATTTTCTCTCTTTCATAGAATCATAGAGTTGGAAGGGGCCTCCAGGGTCATCTAGTCCAACCCCCTGCACAATGCAGGAAATTCACAAATACCTCCCCCCTCCACACCCCCAGTGACCCCTGCTCCGTGCCCAGAAGAGGGCAAAAACAACAACAACAACAAAGCTCTCCAGGATCCCTGGCCAAACTGGCCTGGAGAACAATTGCTTCTTGAACCCAAAGTGGCGATCAGCATTTCCCTGGGCAGGTGAGAAAGGGCCACAAGAACTAAGCACTGACGCGGCCCTTCCTGCCCTCCCTTCTCGTGATCTTCCTAAGTTCACACAATCAGCATTGCTGTCGGGTGGCTATCTAGCCTCTATTTGAAAACCTCCAAAGGAGGAGAGGCCACCACCTCCTGAGGCAGCCTGTTCCTCTCTCTGTCTTTTTCTCTGTTCAGAAGTTATAGATCAGCTCACAGCAGGGCAAGTTAAAGCAGTGTGTTGTGTCAGAGATGGAACATGGCTGTCAAGCTCAGTCTGACCCAGATCCAGTAAACAAAAGAGGAACATTCCAATTCCATTAGACCAGTGGTGATCTGTGAGTGGAATGGATTCTCTGGCTATCAGCCAAGCCTTGATTTTACGTATTCAGCAACTGGCAAAGACTTGCCTGGTCCCCAGCATGTAGGTGTGGCCTCAGCATTCCTGAATATTCTTCTGCACACGTGTGTGTGTGTGTGTGTAAAACCACAGAACTCCCTGCATGCAGAAATCTAGCAGGCCATGATGCCATGCCAAGCCATTTTCCTGACATGGTGTTTTTTGTATGTGTAAGGAGGTTTGTTCATGGGGATGTTCCCTCTAAGCTGTGGAGTCTCGTGAGCAAAAATTCTACTTTGTGAGCTCCTGGCATTAAAGTTGTGAGCAAGCAATTTGGCTCCTACATCAATTAGTTGGCTCTGGAGCCATCCACCCTGAGCTAAGACAAAAATATGTGAGCTGGAGGCTAAAAAACTGTGAGCTAGCTCGCACTAACTCAGCTTAGCGGGAACACTGATGGGCAAGAAAAGCCCCATTCTGCTTCACAGAATGTGTTGCAACACAGGACATTTCAGGGGTGGGAAACTCCTCCTCAACTCCTGGGGGGGGGCTTCCCCAGCAATTAATGCCCCCCCCCCCCACCCCCCCTGCCCCCCCCCCCCCCGGGGGCCTGGTCCCAACACTGTATTTATTTATGAAAGTTTTAGAGAGGGCACTTCTGACAAGTGAGCACAGAGGATGTGGGCTTGAAAAAGGCTTCAAATGTGTGATATCCCCCCCCCCCTTCATTTCAGGGAAGCAGCCAGTGAACCGGATTCCTGGAGTACCTTGTCTCACACAGTGCTTTCTGAAGAGTACTCCGTGAAGTACCACCGGGGCCTGGACATCTACACTTTGACGGCTGAAGTGAAACGAGGAACTGGGTCTGGCATGGAGAACAACATAAGCTGTCTCCAAACCTTTATTCAGAGCTGCCAACACACGGTGAGGGAAGGGCTTGTCTCCATGCGCCTTTTGCCTGTGACTGTTTATTTATTTATTTAATTTTTTTATTATTTCGATTTCTATCCTGCCCTCCCCGATGGCTCAGGGCGGCTAACAGGGCATAATGCCAGATAAAACAATAAAACAATATAAAATGTTAAATTACACATAGACAATTAACAAACAGTTAAACAGCATCCTAAAACAATTTTGGTGCTCCTCTATTCGATTCCAGATGTTAAGATTTTTAAAAGCAAGATGGCGTTCTCAGTAGTATAGCTAGACAACTATGGCAGTGCATATCCCACTGCCCTACCGTCCCCTAAAAGACGTCCCGTTCCCTCCAATGATGCCCACATCAAGATGGCAATATGCGGAAATCATAGGGCGTTGGTGGAACAGTGATGGTGGCGGCTCCTATTCAAAAGCCTGGCGGAAGAGCTCCGTCTTGCAGGCCCTGGGAGCTCATTCCACCAGATATGAGCCGCCACCGAAAATGCCCTAGCCCTGGTCATCGCAAGTCTAGTGGTCCTGGGGCCTGGAACATCCAGGAGATTTTGATTCCCCGACTGAAGTGCCCTTGGGGGAACATGTGGGGAAAGGCGGTCCCTTAGGTAGGCTGGTCCCTGGCCATATAGTTTCTCTCCCCTTGCCCTCTTTTGGGAAGTGGGAAATGGGTTGCAGCGGAATGGTTTTGAGAGTCGAGGCCTTGGGAGATCTGGTGGGCCCTAGCGAACACCCAGGACATGGACTCTAAAGGTGGCGCCAGCGTGGGGCATGTTGGTGGACCAAAACTCGGGAAGACCCATGTTTGAATCTCCATTCTGTGGTGAAGACTGCTGTGTTTGTTTATTTAGGTATTTGTGTGTCACTTTTGGAGCTGTGGTGGCTCAAGTGGCTAAGATGCTGAACTGCAGGCTGTGGAAGGTCAGTAGTTCAGCAGTTCGAGACCCGAATGTGCCGCATGACGGAGTGAGCTCTCGTCTCTAGTTCCAGCTCCTGCCAACCTAGCAGTTCGAAAGCAAGACATTGCAAGTAGATAAATAGGGACCACTTCATTGGGAAGGGAACAGCGTTCCGTGCGCCTTGGTGTTTAGTCATGCCGGCCACATGACCACGGGGAAGTCTTTGGACAGCGCTGGCTCTTCGGCTTTGAAATGGAGATGAGCACCGCAACCCTAGAGTCGGACTTGACTGGCTTTCGAGCAAGGGAACCTTTACCTTATGTCACTTTACTCACAAGGGCCAAAGCAATTTACAGCATCTTCCCTTCCTCCTCACCTCGATCCTCACAATAACAACTCTGTGAGGTAGGTTAGGCTGACAGAGTGACTGGCCCAATTTCCCCTAGCGAGCATCCACGGCAGGGTGGATTTTCAAACCTGGGTCTCCCGGGTGCTTAGTCGGAGCTTTGAAACATTGCCCTGTGCAGGTTGTCAAGGGTGATCCTGGGCCAGCCGCTCGCTTATTTTGCAGGGTAGTTGCAAAGCTAAAATGGAGGAAGAGAGAACTGTGTTCAGCATCTTTGAGGGAAAGGTGGGGTAAAAAAAATGTAGGTAGTTGGAGTTAGCTGAAGATATTTAGTGGCACAAGAAAGAAATTTGTTGTTTCTTTTCCCCTTCCCTGGATAATGTAACCTAATAACCCAAAACTTGCTGTGATTTCCTGGAGATGCAATCCAAATAGTGCTTGCCAAGTCCCCTCTTCCCAGTTAAATCAGCTTTCCAGACACCTGAAGCAGCCTTATACTGACTCAGATTGTTGGCCCATCAAGGTCAATATTGTCTGCTCAGAGTAGCAGCAGCTCTCCACGGTCTCAGGCTGAGGTCTTTCGCAGCACCTGCTGCAAGGTCGTTTCAGCTGGAGATGCTGGGGATTGAACATGGGACCTTCTGCATGCCAAGCAGATGCTCTGCCACTGAGCCATGGGCCCTCCCCAGACACTTCAAATCCACCACCATCCTAAGTCTAGAAGCAGATGTAGCTCTAGTGAGGACATATGGGTGCAGATAGACACTCTGGGTTGCAATCCTAGACAACAGCTTGTGTTTGCGTGTGAATGGGATGAGAGAATGGGGGATTGGAGACTGGAAGATCAGCTGCAAAAATATCTTCGAACCGACCTCCACTTGTTTTATTTTTTTTTATCAATTAAATAATAATTTTTATTGAAAAACAGTAGGGATACAGTGAACAGTAAAATCGAACAACAAACAACAAAGCTGCATTCATTGAGTAATCCATATCATGAGGTTAACACTTAAAAGGTAAAGGTTCCCTTGCTGGAAAGCCAGTCGAATCCGACTCTAGGGTTGCGGTGCTCATCTCCGTTTCCAAGCCGAAGAGCCAGCGCTGTCCGAAGACGTTTCCGTGGTCATGTGGCCGGCATGACTAAACACCAAGGCGCACAGAACGTTGTTACCTTCCCACCAAAGTGGTACCTATTTATCTCCTTGCAATTTCTTGCTTTCGAACTGCTAGGTTGGCAGGAGCTGGAACTAGAGACGGGAGCTCACTCCGTCATGCGGCACCCGGGTCTTGAACTGCTGAACTACTGACCTTCCACAGCCTGCAGTTCAGCGCTTTAACCGCTTGAGCCACCGCAGCTCGGGTTAACACTTAGTATTATACTAATCATTGAATTGCCATTACTGAGCTGAAATTAGCTAAAATATCAGAGTCCAGCGGTCCCTTATGCTTAAGTCTCCATTTCAGGAATGTGGTCCGTTTATTCATTGCATACAACTCATTAACTTGCAACTTTGAGCTTTGGATGTCATCGGAGATTTTCTGTATGATAAAGTAGCCCCACAGTTTTGTATACCAAAGATGAATCGTAGGCGGACTTTCTTCTTTCCACTTTGTCGCTATTATATTCTCTGCTGCCGTGACCATAGTCACAATCAGATCTTTTTTGACTTTAGAGGTTTTGATGGTTTCCCCATAAATTCAATAGGATCATCTCAGGTTTTAGCGGTATTGCGATATTTGTTATCTGGGTGATTTCTGAGATTATTTGTTCCCGGAACAACTTGATTGCCTTGCACGTCCACCAGTTGTGGAAAAAAGTTTCCTTCTGGCCGCAGTGCTTCCAACAGTTGGAAGATGCTGATGAGGTGCAATGGGATAGTTTAGCTGGCGTTAAATGCCACCTGGACACAACTTTATATGTTTGAAAGTGTAGTGGGATCATACCAAAAATGTATGGAAAAGAAATGCTAGGCGTTTAGCTCCACCTTTGAACATATTGACATTGTTCACCGGTCAAAGCTGGTTTGAACCAGGGCTAGGGAAAAAAGCATTTCTGCGCTGGAAACAAATGAGGATTAATTGATTTATAGATATAACTAGAAATGATGCCCGTTGCGGAAATAAATACAACGGGATCTAGAAAGAGGCTCTGGGAGAGTGCTCTGGCTTTGGGCAAACAGTGTCAGTTTCCTGTGGCCACCTCAGCAGGGTTTAATGACGGAGTCCACTGTTTTCTCCAGGGGGACTGATCTCTGCTACCTGAAGAGCATTTGTATGTTTGAGTTATCTGTAGCCCTCACCTGGAGAGTGGTAACCATTGTTACCCATTCTCCTCTCCCCTTTGAGGTATGTTATGCAACTGAAAATCCCAACTGCCTTGCGGGGGGGGGGGTTTGAGGTGTGGAATGCACTGAAGTCCAATCAGCTTCCAGGCCACTGTGTGTGACAAGAGTGTTGGACTGGATGGGCCATTGGCCTGATCCAACACTGGCTTCTCTTATGTTCTTATAGGAACTCTCTGGGGCAAGGGATGAACTGTATTCCTGGTGCTTGGGGAGGGGGCAACAGTGGGAGGGCTTCTAATGTCCTGGCCCCACTGCTGGACCTCCTGATGGCACCTGGTATTTCTGGCCACTGTGTGATACAGAGTGTTGGACTGGATGGGCCACTGGCCTGATCCAACACTGGCGTCTCTTATGTTCTTATGTTCTTATTAACCAGGGCTAGGGAAAAAAGCATTTCTGCGCTGGAAACGAATGAGGATTAATTGATTTATAGATATAATACCAAAGGGCAGCCTACTTGCAAAGAGTGACCTTGCTCAGAGGTGCAACCACACCCTGCCATGGTATGAATACTTCCAGGTCAGTAGCTTGTTAGCTACTCACAAATTCAGACCCCCCGTACTAATGGGCCTGACTGACTTTGAAAAATTACTGTATCAGGAAGATGGCCTAATTTCTAAGATTTATAATATTTTATTGAAAACAGAACACCCAAATTGTCACTTCTATCAAGGTGCTTGGCACAGAGATTTAGGTAAGGAGCTATCGCAGGACCAGTGGCATAAAATACGGAATGTCCTGGCATATACTTCCAAAGTGATCCCAGTCCACTTGTTGATGCATTTTCACCAGCAGGTGCACACTTCTGCAGGTACAGACCTGAGGGTCTGAAGGGTGTCTGGGCAACCCTTTAGTGGGCAACTCAGCCTCCAGACAGATTAGGTAAAATGAAATTTCGGCAGCTCTATGAAGGAGAGGCCCATCTGTGGTTAAGAGAGAGGTCCAAGCGGTTCATATTTCAGCAGGTGCTCATGCCTCACTTACTAAAGCAGCGTAGGAGATACAAATGCATGTTGTGTGTGTTCCTTTATTTTATTTTTTTTAAAGTCCATTTTAAAACATTGCTTGGCACTCCAGCTGGCTGTCAGTTGCTGGTAAAACATGGCCAAATGCCTCTCTCTCTCCCCCCTGCCCTTTCCTTACGGGTACAACGGAAGCGCTATGTTTAGATGACCCTCATTCGAGGCCTGGTTTGCTTCACTTCTAATCAGATTTGAACGTGGACCCGGGCCTTGCAATTACTTTAATTTCAGTTCATGTAGGGTCAGTGGAGAGGCTGTCGGTCTCCTCTGGAAGAGGGTCTGTTCTTTGCAGCCTCTGGCCGCCAAGCGACTTCACTGAAAGGGTGGAGAGAGGTCCCATTTTGCTTCTCTCTCTCTCTCTCTCTGTGCTGTTTTCCCTCCCCCCCCATTCCTGAAACACTTGCTTGTTCCAGAACAAGTGTCCCTTCTGTCTGGTCTGCTTACCCTGCTGGCTGGGAGCCAGCCCAAGTGCCTCTCTTCCTCTGTCTGCTCTTTGCTGCACCCTTATCAGGCAGCTGAGGCTCCATTGGAATGGGCCCACTTGTGCAGATATTTAAGGAAAAACACAGCTCTTCATGCCAAGTAGCACAGCATATTCCAGAAAAGACGCGAGGACAGGTTTGTGAAGCCAGTTGGCTCTGCGGGTGGATGCCAAGTGTACCCCAAACACAGAACTGAGGAGCTGAGTGTCACTCACATTCAATATCCTGAGAATCTCTACTTGGAGATTTCTAGTCCTCAGGATTTTGCAGAAGTAAGCTTGAAAGGAGGAGTGGGCTGTACTTGATGAAAGCAGAAACTGAGCTGTGTGTGTGTGTATGTCCTTCCCCATAGGAGCAGCACTGCTGGGTCAGACCAAAGGCCCCACTAGTCCAGTTTGAATAAAATAAAATGGCTGCCTGTTTCCACCTGTGTGTGTGTGTGTCCTTCCCCATAGGAGCAGCACCGCTGGGTCAGACCAAAGGCCCAACTAGTCCGGTTCGAATAAAATAAAATGGCTGCCTGTTTCCACCAGATGCCTCTGGGACAGGCTGCAAGCAGGTTGCCAAGGGGACTGCCCTTTTCTGGTGGCCCTCAGTATGTGTTGATCATTCAGAGCCATCCTGCCCCTGAAGACGGAGGTTCCAGTTAGCTACCAAGGCTGGCATTTTGTAGGCGGATCAAGGCCAATGTTCCCTCTAAGCTGTGGAGTCCCATGAGCCAAAATTCTACTTTGTGAGCAACTGGCATTAAAGTTGTGAGCGGGCGACTTGGCTACTGCCTAAATTAGTTTGCTCTGGAGCCCTCCTTCCTGAGCGAAGACAAAAATGCGTGAGCCGGAGGCTAAAAAACTGTGAGCTGGCTCACGCTAACCCAGCTTAGAGGGAGCACTGATCAAGACTCCTTTTAAGAAGGACGGTCGCTATTGCCCCGTCTTGTGGCAGGGCACCCATAAGCTAATGACATATTACAGGAAGAAATAGGGTTGCCAGGTCACACCTTTGCTGTAGCCGGTGGGGGTGGGGGTGGGCTCCTTTATGCGCGTGGCGTGATGACATCACTGGTAGTGACATCATCATGCTGGGGTCATTGCACAGTGACACTCTAGCATTCGGGGCAAATGCTAGATCATCGCCGTGCAATGGCCCCCACGTGACAACATCACTACTGGGTGGGGCTTCCCCTGCCAGCCAGGTGTCCGGCGACGGATTTGGGCCCCAGAATCAGGGGATCCCCTGGCCCCACCGGGGGGGACGGCAACCCTAGGAAGAAACATTCTCTTTGTTCATTTAGATATCGATACCCCGCTTTTCTGCTCAGTGGGGACCCAAAGCAGCTTAACAACATCAGGAGGTCTGGACTGTGGTGTCACCAATGCATGGATTATATCCAGTTCAGCCTTTCTTTGCAACATAATGCCAAGGATGCTATTTTTCCCCCCACGTTTATTTTTCATATTTTCAATTTAGTTACAACCATTTCAGTATCTCAGATTACACAGATTTTTAGAGTCATTACATCAAGTTACATGCCTTATGTTCATTATAGTTCGTTCCACTTTTCTTTTTCTTACTCTACTTTTACATGTTTTATCCAATTGTAAACCCTTAACCATCTTTTATTCTGTATTTTTTGGTCTTTATTCTGGAGTATTAAACTCAAATTATTCATTTGCGCTAATTTAAGAAGTTTAGCTATTAGATCCTCTTTCGAGGGAATTTTGTCCGTTTTCCAATTTTTAGCCACTAGTATTCTTGCAGCTGTTATGATATATACTAATAAATATACATCTTGCTTGACATAACCTTTTGGAATTATATTCAATAGATAAATTTCAGGTGCTAACAAAACATCTAGGTTTAGTATCTCTAAAATAACATTATGTACCATTTTCCAGTATTTTTGCATTTTACTACAATTCTACCACATGGATGCTATTGATGCTCTGAGCCAGCAGTTGAAGGTAGTGATGGGTTGGATGAGGAGAGCAAACTGAAACGTAATCCTAACGAAACAATGTTTGAGTCCAGTGGCACCTTTAAGAGAGCCAGTTTGGTGTCGTGGCTAAGTGCGCGGACTCTAATCTGGGAGAACCGGGTTTGATTTCCCACTCCTCCACTCGCACCTGGCTGGATGACCTTGGGTCAGTCACAAGCTCTGGCACAGCTGTCCTTGAAAAAGAGCAGTTTCTGTCAAGAGTTCTCTCAGCCCCACCCACCTCACAGGGTGTCTGTTGCGGGGAGGGGAAGGGAAATGAGTTTGTAAGCCGCTCTGAGACTCCAAGTGAAGGGCGGGGTATAAATCCAATCTCTTCTTCTTCTCTTCTCTTCTTAAGACCAACAAAGTTTTATCCCTGATGAAAGCTTATACCAGGAATAAAACTTTGTTGGTCTTAAAGGTGCCACTGGTCTCAGACTTTGTTCTGCTGCTTCAGACCAACGTGGCTACCCACCTGTAATCCTAACAAGACAAGGGTGCTCTGATTTCATAGGAAGGCAGACCAGGGACTTGAGTTCTCCTGTCTTGGATGGGGTTATTCTTTCCTTGAAAAGCCAGGTTCACAGCTTGAGGGCGCTGCTTGAAGCAGCGGTCACATTAGAAAACCAGGTAGATGTGGTGGTTTGGAGCGCTGTGGCCCAGGTTCGGCTAGTGTGTCCGCTGTACCCATTCAGCCAGATCTAGCCACAGTGATCAACACCTTAGATCTAGACTGGACTGCTGCAATATGCTCTACTTGGGATATCCTGGAAGAGTGTTCAGGGAGTTGCCGTTAGCACAGAATGCTACAGCTAGATTGCTTGTCAGGGCCAGTTACTGGGGTCATGTAACCCTGGTATTACAGCGATTACCCTGGCTACCCATCCTCTCCAAAGCCCAATTCAAGATGTTGGTTTTGTCCAGGGCTATTTTTGGGCAGGAACGCACAGGAACGGAGTTCCGGCTGACTCCCGAGTTGGCCACACCCAGCAGGAACTCATTAGCATAATAGGCCACACCCAATAGCAGAAACTCATTAGGATTGGCTACATTAGGGGTGTGTGGCCTAACACGCAAAGGAGTTCCTTCTACAAAAAAAGCCCTCGGTTTTGACAACAAACAAGGTAAACAGAATGAGAAGCAAAAGGTGGGTGTGGCTGGATGACCACACTTCTGGTAACACGGGGTGTGGCCTAATATGCTAATGAGTTTTTGCTGTTAGGTGTGGCCTGTTATGCTAATGAGTTCCTGCTGGGCTTTTTCTACAAAAGAAGCTCTGGTTTTGTCCTTTAAAGCCCTACAAAGCTTGGGACCGGGGTGTTCCTGCCTGGGAGTTAAAATCACAGGGAGAGGCTCTCTAGATTGTCCAATCAACTGAGGAAGCTCGTCTGCTGGATACACGAGGGAGGGCATTTTTGGTGGTGGCCCCACAATTATGGAACAGTCTCTTGAGGGAGGGGCATCTGACCCCCTTCGCGCTAGATCTTGAGGAAGCAGCTGGAGATGGCTTTATTCAGGATGGCATTCAGTTAGTTTAGTTTAGTTTTCTTGCCTATTGGTTTTAAATTGTGATTTTAATTCATGGCCTTTTATGTGTTTTCATGTTGTATGTTCTGTTTGCATCGTAGGCCACGTTGAGTTCCATAACGTAGAAACGCAGCCAATATATTTTTTAAATAGATAAACATTGTTCTCCTCTTCTCCAGCTTGTCTTCACAACAGCCCTGTGAAGTAGGTTAGGCTGAGAGCATGTGACTGGCCAAGGTCTCTCAGCAAACTTCAATTGCAGAGTGGGGTTTTGAACTTGGGTCTTTCAGATCCTAGTCTGGCCAATTACTATACAATGCGGCCCTGAACTTGCTGCCATCAGTTTTTTTAGGTGACCCTGAATTTTATGAGATAGAGGAGAGCAAAAACCATGCTTCGTCAAGCATTCACCTTCCTTCCAAGCAGTGGCTCTCAAGCAGCTTACAAAACTTGGAAAAGGCTATAGAAACTGCAATAACAAACGCATAAATAACAAATGACAAAATGAAATAAAATAAGAAACTTCACAGTATGACAAGCCCAAACCATTCCTTTTCTTCTTTGCAGTGCTGCTGAGATATTGGTGTCTTGGGTGTGGGGGCAGCTGCTTTTGGAGACAAGTTCCCTTTGCAACCCCAAATCCATGCTCTGTCCTGGGAGCTCACTGGGTAGCCTTGGGCCAGTCATAAATGCTCAGCCTAGCCTACCTCACAGGGTTGTTGTGAGGATAAAATGGCGGATAGCAGAATGATGTGAGCCACTTCGGGTACTATTCGGGTGGTGGTCAGTGTTCCCTCTAAGCTGAGTTAGTGTGAGCTAGCTCAAAGCTTTTTAGCCTCCAGCTCACACATTTTTGTCTTAGCTCAGGAAGGATGGGTCCAGAGCAAACTAATTTATGCAGTACCCAAATTGCTCACCCACAACTTTGCCAGTAGCTCACAAAGTAGAATTTTTGCTCACAGGACTCCACCGCTTAGAGGGAGCCTTGGTGGTGGTGGTGGTTGGATTGTCTTAGTCAACAGGTTTGCCAGCCTTTTTGACCCTGCCAGTCATTGTTGGTTGGCGTTTTCTTTCGTCGATAGACGTATTGCAGGATTTTTTTAAAAAAGTATTATCTACAAAATTAAGTGTGTGCCTACAGAGTGTGACATATCGCAGAATAAACTTAACCTCTCTCCCCCTTCTGCTTCTTCCAGACTGTGAGCGAACACCCACATCCTCCACCAAAGAGCACTTTCAAGAGCGGCTGTTCAAACACCAAGTCAGGAGGCCCTGCAGCTGCTTCAGACCACAATACTGAAGAAGGAAACGGAGCAGGTCTGTCTGCCTCAGCGAATCTCAACGTGATGCCGATCTTGGTCCCTGCCTGCCCCAAAGAGGAGGGCTGCAAGCAACCGGAGGAGCCCTTGAGCACGCCGCAAAGTTTGGGAAGCCCACAGGGTGCGGAAGAACCGGAGTCTGTTCCCTATGATCAAAACAAAGTCAGCTTGCTTCACAAAGAGGAAGAGGAGGAGCCATCCGCTGCTGTAAATTCTGGAGAAATACCGGATACCAGTGACAGCAAGCTCAGCTCAGGGGCCAGACTTGAGGGTGCCGTGGAACTCCCATGTTCTGGAGCAAAGCAAAAGGGAATTGGAATGAACTCCTCCGATCGGGGGCTGGAGAAAGGCAGCCTGGGTGAGCAGAGTAATTTGCACCAGGAGGTAGAAGCGGTTGAAGGAAGAACCACTGGAAGGAGCTGTGAGCTGCCCACTTCCTGTGATGCAGGTATGGGGCAAGCAGAATGCAAGAGTTGTACGGGGACTGCCGTGGTACAGCACGGTGCGGAGAACGGGAAGAGTAACAGCAGTCCCTCTGAAACTCAAGCTGTGGAAGTATCTGCAGCCACGTGGACGGATCCTGCCACATCCTGTTTTGTAGATGTCAGTGGGGTTGCTGCCTGCAGAGATGGGGAGAATGTACCTGAGCGACCAGGGGGCCCTCAAAACAATGGAAACTTAGGAACAGACACAAACACTGGTCCCATTGAGTCTGGTGGTTGCAGAACGGTGGGGGCAGACCTTCAGACCGATACTGCAAGACATTTAGGGGATCCCAAGCTCTTAGTGAAGGAAGTGCAGAAGTTGGCTTCAGGTCCTGAAACGGAAGCCGTGGCGATGAACACGGCACCCAAACGCGATCGCCTTTTGGAGGCGAATGAGAGCGAGGAGCAAGCCGTGATTGGGGGTGCTGGGGTGGCAGTTACAGATTTGAGGACCAGTGTGCAGAATGATAACTCTAGTGCCAACGTGGAAGATGGCAGGCCTGGTGTGGAGCCTGAGGCTGCTTGTGCCGGCAGTAGGATAGGAGAGTTTGTGGGTAGCTTGCAGGGCGAGCAAATAACCTCCCGGAGAGCGGCACTAGGAACTGAAACGCCAAGCTGTAGCTGTGGGGGAAGTGCTGATTTGACCAGCCTCCATCAGGGGGAGGTTGCTGCATGCCACAGTCCGAAAGCAGGGGTTGGGAAAGATGATTTTGGCAGCTCTTCTGAACTGTGCACCAGCCCTGCCGTTGTCTGTGGGCCAGTTCCGAGCTGTCTGAGCCCTGCGATGTCATCCCCTGCCAGAGAAGAGCCCCCTAAAAGCCCGGAGGTTGTTGAAACCCACTGCAAGCTGGACGGGTCCAGCCAAAGCACCGAAAATAAAATCCTGGCCGTGGCTTCTGCCTTGCTGGAGGAGGTGATCCAACAAGCCCAGCTGATCGTTGCCCGGGTTGTTGACGCCACAGCGGCCCCTGCTGGCCAGGAGGCATCCCTGCACCCAGAGGCTCTGGCCCTACCTTTGCGTGGTGAGGGCACAGAGTGTGTGCAGGGTAATTTACTGGGCACACCCTCTGCTATTCATCCTAAAGAATCTAAACAAAACCAGGAAGTTGCCGAAGAGGCAGCCACCCAGCTGACTGCAGTTGTCGAACAGGGAAGCCCTCTGCCCGATGAGCCGCCCGCGGGGACGTGCCTGCCTGTGGATCAGCCGGAAAAAAACAAAGAGGGCAGCTCTCCCTCTCAGCCATCTTCCAGCAAACTGGGGCAGGAGCGGCCTGGCGAGGCGGAGTGTTTTTCCGAGGCCCCGGCAGTGGAGGCTGTTGCACAATCTCCTCCCTGTGATCAGAGCGAGGAGCTCCCAGAGAGCCACGGGAACGCCGAGCCCGGATTAAAGGTGGGAGCCTGCGGCCTGGAGGCGGGGGAGAATGTGAGAGCGGGTGCCGCCGCGGGTGGCTTGCAAGGGCCTGCGCTGCTGGAGGGCACCTCCGCGTGTGCCGATGGGGCTCCCCGTCCTCCTGACATCATGCTGAGCCAAGAAGCAGAGCCCGGCCCCAGTCTGCAGGCCAGCCCTCCGCCCTGCAGGGGTTCCTTTCTCTTAGAAGCTCCTCTGCTCATTGGTGAGCTCCCCACACCGGCCGGGGTTCCTCACACTGGGGGGGAGGAGGAGGTGGGAAATGTGTCCCCCAGGCCATTGCTCCAGCCGATTGCTGAGGAGCCCCTGGGGGACTGTGACTCTGGCCCTGAAGGGTTCTTTTCGGCCAGCGAGGAGGGACCTGAGCCTGAAGCTGCCCCGCTAGAAGTCGTGGCTCAGCCTAACGGGAGCAAAAGGAAAGCCGAGCCGGAATCCCACCTTTCGGCACCGCCACCCTCTACCCCCGTGGAAAAAGTGGGAGCCAAAGATTCTGTCCAGACTGCAGATGTTAACTTTCTTGAGCAGACGGCAGGAAACCCCGATCGAGCTACAGTGCCGCATGGTTCCTTGGGATCGGTAGCTGGAAACCCCATGGAAACTCCCCCCCTCATGGAATTTAGGCCTGATGACCAGCACATGACGGATGCTGTCCCCATCTCTGATGGAGAAATGGATCTGAGTTTGCTGTCTGGTGGACCGATGAAGAGGGTGGAAAACCTGGAGGCGGCGAGACCCTCTCCTGTTACAGGTAAGGAAACAGAGCTCTGTCTTGGGGTGTGTGTGTGTGTTATCCTTTCTGTATTTGACTTTCCGGAACAAGCAAGGGGAAATATGGAGCAGAGGTCCATCAGTGGCTATTAGCCACAAGGTATAGATAGGGGCTCTGGGGCGAGTGATGCTCTGTCATCTTGGTGCTTGGGGGGGTGGTCAACAGTGGGAGGGCTTCTAATGTCCTGGCCCCACTGGTGGACCACCTGATGGCACTGGTATTTCTGGCCACTGTGAGACACAGAGTGTTGGACTGGATGGGCCTTTGGCCTGATCCAACATTGGCATCTCTTATGTTCTTATGTATGTAAATATGCGCTGCTTCCCTAAGCAAATTCATGCAGGGTAAGTCTGGCAATGGCTAAAACGCGTCCTCTGTGCCCAGGTGCCAGGTCTGGGGCATGTGGTGTGTGTTGGGGGGTAGGAGCTTGCTGTCACCTCCATGCCTTGTTTATGGGCATTGGGCTGGCTGTTGTTGAAGACAGGGTGTAGAACTAGATGGAGTCTTGGTCTGATCCAGCAGGTCTCTTTGCTGTTTTTAATCTGCACGTGTGAAAACTGTCCCTTGGAGAGGTTGATGTGGTTCTCTTTTTAAAGCTCCATCCCCCCCCCCTTCCCCAAACATGCCCATTCATTTACCTCTTTGGAGAATGCTGTTACCAGGGTCATTTTAAACTCAGTGCCATGAAATGCTAAGTTGCTAGGACTCTTGTTTATTTTTTGTGGCTTTTGTCCTGGAACAGGTGCTTAGACTAACTTATGATTCAGTCGTGCTGCTTTCTCCGCTGCTAGCTTGGAACTGGAGAACACAGCCCGGCAGTGTCTAAAGATCCCCCCCCCCCCCGCGCGCATGCATCAGCTGCCGAAGTTCTAAAAGCGTCCTTCCCAAATGAGCCAGCCCGGGTTCCAAACCGGTGCTTTTAGGTCACTCACATCGAGGATGAGAACTCTTCCCCCCGCCCCATGTTTGCATTTCCAAAGTCCTAACGCTGTGCAGAGGGTTACCTTTCCCCTGAAAGAGTTTTAAGAGTTTTCTGGGACTTGAGCCTTCGTTTCCGACTTGACAAAGCCAAAGGGTGGGGAGAGGAGACGGGATTTTGGCTGCGGAGGACAGCATCAGGACAGACCGGTCGGACGCCTTTATTAAACCATTTTTTGCACCTACTTCAGCCGGAGTTTGCTGAATGCATTATGATTACTATTTAGCATTATTATTTGAAAGGTTAAAGGGGGGGGGGAGAGAAAGAGAAGGTCTCTTCCCAATCTAGCTGACCCTTACTGATAGCTCGTGGCCGGTTTTGTATAGCCCTACCTGCTCAGACAGCTATTACCTGCTCAGACGGCTATTAAAACGTAAACAGCAAATCTCTTTCTCTCTCTCTCTCCCTGCTGCTATTACGTCGCCCCCAGAGGAATCGAAGGTGCGGCGGGTCCTCCCCCCCCAAGCCTCAGAATAACCCCCTCCCTCTGCACACACCAGAGCACGGGCTGACTGGTAGCAGAATTGGTCCCAACCATCGGGACTGCAAATGCATGAAAACTTTGGGATGGTTTTTTTTTTGGTACGTGTGCAGAAAACGAGGGTAGCTCATTCCCCTCCCCCTGAACAGGGAAAAAGAAGGTAAGGGGGCTGGCTTGTCTAAGTAACTGCTTTGGGCTGGGTGGCCTTGTTCGTGTTTGGTAAAGAGCGTGATTGGTAAGAGCGCAGCTTCGCTTGGCAAGCCTTGGCCCGCCGCGATGGCCGGACGCGTCTCGAAATGAATCAGCATTTAACGAGCTCCATTTTATTTTTGTGCTATATTGTGGTTTGATATTTCAGTAGCATGGGAGTGGCGGCCAGGCCTGTTGATTCCCCATTGCTCCTCCTTCGCTGAGCTTGCTTTTAAAGATCAAGGCTCCTACCCCCCCCCTTCCTTTCCCTGTTGGGTGAATGGTGGTGGTGGGGGGAGGGTGCAACAGATGAACAGCAGGTGATGGAAAGAAATGCAGCTCCGTGGCTTTGCATATAATTAAAAACTGGCTTGTCGGGCAGTATGCAGAGATTGGCGAGTGGGTCACTGTGCCCTGGGGTTTCAAAGCGCTAACTCCTTTGAGGGCCTCCGGGATGTGGGGGTGGGTTTTACCCACGTGGAAGTGCGGAATTGGAAGCAGAACAGAGAGGAAGAGTCTGAGTGTAAAAACGGCTTCCTTGTGGAACCGTCGGTTACAAAGCGCAGGAAGACGTGAGCGAAGAAGCTGGGAACGGAACCTGTAATTAGATGTACTTCCTGGGGCGTACCTGACATAAGTACGATGCTGGGGCTAAAAACAGGGGAACGTTCTGACTGGGGCTTGGTTTGCTTGAGCTGTGGGTCACAAACCCCACGTGGCTTTTGGGAAGCTGTGGGTCAGAACGCAGTGGAGGCATGTCCTTTGCTGAAAGGGTCAGGTCTTGAGGGATGAGGGGGGGACACGGGAGGGGGTAAGTAGCAGCTGTCCCAAGGTGGGGGGAGCTTTGCCGGTCTTCTAATCAGCCGTTCGCCCTGCAGAGGAAGCGTGGTCTGCGGGCTAGAGACATTGGCGAGCGGGACCAGAGAGGGCAGGAACACGGCTCAGCGTTTATGCGTTGCTTTCACTACTCAGAATGTTTCATGCAAGGTTATTGTTTTGTAAATACGATGAACCAGTTCTTCTCCTTCTGGCTGTCCAAAGTGTGTTGCAAAGAACTGGCAGTGGCAACTTTTGCGGACTCATTTGGTGGGAAGATGAGGATTACCTTGACTTACCTGGTTTATCTAACAGGTCATTACGCGTTGTGGGGCAAGGAGATGGTGTTGGATAAGGCACCCCCCCCCCCCAATTTAAATTTGGCAATAATTGTACTGCACCGATTGACCACGAATGGTGTTTGAATAGGCCGCCCCCCCCCCCAATTTACATTAGGCAATAATTGTACTGCACCGATTGACCACAGTTTTATTCCACCCTTCCTCCAAGGATCTTGGACAGGTGTGTGAGGCTCCCTCATTTTTTCTGTACAACAAGCCTGTGAGGTAGGTTAGGCTGAGAGAGCGTGACTGGCCCCAGGCCACCCAGTGAGTTTCGTAGTAGGGATAACTTCCCGATCCTCTTCCAGCTCTCTAACCTCTACACCACACTGCCTTCCCCATAACTCTTCCCACTTGCTGTCTTTCTGTGACACCACTGAGTTCTGCGTTTGGCTTAATCGGTTCCCCTAGTACTGGAGTTCTTAGCCCACTTTCTCCTTAGGGCTGTAAGGTGGGCTACAGATTTGTTTATTTACCATCCTAACCTTGCCTGTTTAAAACTAACGAACAAAACCTTACCTTTCCAGGAATTACTTATGATAAGGGATGAGCTGAACATGTCAGCAGGTACTGTTCTACTTGATCATGTCCCCATAGCATAGAGAATGTGCATCTTGGGTCAGAAGGTTAGTTAGTGAGAGCCAGTGTGGTGTAGCGGTTAAGAGCAGCAGACTCTAATCTGGAGAACCAGGTTCGAATCTGCACTCCTCTGCGTGAAGCCAGCTGGGTAACCTTGGGTCAGCTCTCAGAGCTCTCTCAGCCCCCCAAAATAAGTCTAGCTCACTAAAAGAGTTAGAACTTAAGGCTGCCAGACAATCTTTGGCTCTCCTGGCTAGACCACACACAATGCAGTGCAATAATTGTTATTATTAGGTTAGTTAGTGATCAGTTCCCAGGGTTAGCGTACAGAAACACATGAGGTTTCCTTTTCCTGAGTCAAACCAGGGGTCTGTCGAGGTCAGGATGGTGTCGTGGTTAGAACGTTGGATTAGGGTGTGGGAAGACACCCTTCCAAATCCCCACACTGCCATGAAGCTCTTTGGGTGATCTTCACTCAGTTGCACACTCTCTACCTAACCCACCTTGTAGGAAGAAGAAGAGTTGGTTTTTATACCCCGCTTTTCTCACCCCTAGGAGCTGCGGTGGCTCAAGTGCTTAAGACGCTGAACTGCAGGCTGTGGAAGGTCGGTAGTTCAGCAGTTCGAGACCCGGGTGCCGCATGACGGGGTGAGCTCCCATCTCTAGTTCCAGCTCCTGCCAACCTAGCAGTTTGAAAGCAAGAGATTGCAAGTAGATAAATAGGGACCACTTTGGTGGGAAGGTAACAGCATTCCGTGCACCTTGGTGTTTAGTCATGCCGGCCACATGACCACGGAAACGTCTTCAGACAGCGCTGGCTCTTCGGCTTGGAAATGGAGATGAGCACCGCAACCCTAGAGTCGGATTCGACTGGCTTTCGAGCAAGGGAACCTTTACCTTTACCTTTCTCACCCCTAAGGAGTCTCAAAGCAGCTTACAATGGCCTTCCCTTCCTCTCCCCACAACAGGCTTTTTCTGAGGGAGATGGGGCTGAGAGAGTTCGGAGAGAACTGTGACTGGCCCAAGGTCACCCAGCAGGCTTCATGTGGAGGAGGAGTGGGGAATCAAACCCGGTTCTCCCGACTAGTGTCCACTGCTCTTAACCAGTACACCACTCCGGTCCTCGTGGTATTATGTGGTCATAGTACAAGGGAAGAGAAAATGACATATATCTTGAGCTCCTTGGAGGAACGGCGGGTTTAATATGTAGTGGATTCTTGAAACATGTTTTAAACCTTTTTATCCTGTTCTTCTTCCAAGAGAAGAGTTTCAGGTGGCTAGCCATGTTGGTCTGCAGTAGAAGTGCATGATTTTGAGCCCAGTAACGCCTTAAAGGGGATGTGGAATGGTATAGTATAGCCTGATCTCAGAAGCTGATTTATGTTTTCTGAGAAATATGGTTTTCACTATTTGATTATGTTGTTACTTTGTGATTTGTAACCTGCCCTGAGCCTGCTTGCGGGGAGGGTGGGATAAAAACTGAATCAAAGAATAAAGAAATGAATAAGCTAAGCAGGGTTGGTACTTGGATGGGAAACCACTAAGGGAAGTTCTGCAGGCCATGGCAAGCCACCCCTGCTTCTCACTTGACTTG